GTCCAAATATGGTATGCATAATCCCGTTCACCATGTCCAAATATGGCATGCATTATCCCGTTCACTGTCCAAATATGGTATGCATAATCTTGTTCACCGTGTCCAAATATGGTATGCATAATCTTGTTCACCGTGTCCAAATATGGTATGCATAATCTTGTTCACCGTGTCCAAGTATGGTATGCACAATCCCGTTCATCGTGTCCAAATATGGTATGCATAATCCCGTTCACTATGTTGAAGAAGGCAGACATTTATCGAGTTTATACTGGAATCTGCAAGAAAAAAAGATCGAACAAAAAGCAATCGCGGTAGTTTGGATAAAAAAAAAAAAATTTGAAAACATCTTACGGTTTGTAAAATTGATAAATACGTTAAAAATCCCATAATGAAAATAATATTCAGATCCCGTTCCCTTTTCGTTTAACTTTTCAACCTATTTATTTTCAACCTATTTATTCCCCAGCCTTCCTGTGTTACCGGTAAGTGTTGTAAGTGTTGTTCCTGGCCTGCATCCCGGCCGTTCTTTGGTTATGATCCAAGTCGAGATTCCCAACCTCCCCAGTTTGTTTTGACACCCCCCCCATTTCATCCCGACTGGGTCAGTTTTATATTTTCCCATTCCAGCCTAATATTTTATACTTTTTTTAGTCCTTTAGAGCGAGAGAGCGTCTCTTGATTTTGTCCCCTGGGCAGAATACAGCGGTCTCTCTGTTTTATGGGTTGGACGGTCCCTACTAACATCAATTATGTTTAGTTTGTATTTGTGTTTATCTTAAGTTTATTATTGGGTTCATTTCCCTCCCCTCTCATTTTATCATTATTAGAATTGTATATATATATCATCATTAAAATTTTTATGGCATGGGGCGCGATTTTGGTAGGTCTCCCTTGAGAGCCCGTGGTATTATGGTGGTTGAAGGCTTGTTTGGTGATGGACGAGTTCTTTTGGTGAATGAGTAAAATGTAATGTACGAATGGGTCGTGAATCTGATTAGCGAGGTATAAGATAGTTAGTGTTGACCAGCCTCTACCCCTCCCCTTTATTGGCCTCGTGCCACAATTTGTACGAATAAATATCAGCCTTCCTGTGTTGCCGGAAAACATGAAATGAAGAATTTTCTTTATTCCACTGACTTTTTCAGTCTATATTTTTTATTATTTCTTGCACAAAGCCTTGAACCATTTTTTCTTCAGCTGTCTTGTAGTGCCTGATTTAGTAAGTTAGTTTAAGGACATCATCAACTGGGTTCTTTAACATCGAATATAAATTTTACATGATAAAAATACTAATGATAGGTAGATACACTTCTGGTTTAGACTATAGTAAAAAGATATATCGAATAAAAATGGTAGACATAGATTCGATTTCTTCTTTTTATATTGTGTTCCCACCTAACATAGGCAGTCGTGACTCACCACAATTTCCGGTACGTTTTAGCTTTTAAAATTTTTTGTCTTATTGTTATTTCTCCTAAACCCTGTCCTGCCATCTATGTACTCAAGACCACTAAATATGTTATGCGTTGCTTTCCTTTGTTTCTCTTACCGTCAATCTTACCTGTGAGTATTAGATTTTCCAAGCCCTCTTTTCTCATTATGCGCCCTAAAAATTCAACTGTCTTTTCTTGATGTTAAGTATAAGTTTCCGTTTTATATAAAATACCGTTGTTGCTCACACGTTCGGATCATGATATCCCCAGTATCCTTCTGTAAAACCACATTTATTTTGCTTCAAGTCTCTTTTTTGTCCAGCATTCATTGTCATATACGAGGACAGACGTCACGTAACAGTTCAGTAATCTTTTCTTTGTTTCCAACGAGGTTTTTCTTGTTTTTCCTGTTTCTTAATACTCTACTTAACTTTTGGAAGGCATCTTTTGCTCTCCCAATGCGCCTTCGGCTTTCAGTGTCGCACTTCCCAGATATTTAAATTTCCGCAATTGTTTCATTTTGGTATCTGTGATTTGCGCTTCATACTTTGTGCACATCTTGTTGCTAACTACCATCCATTCTATTTTCTTTCACTTGATATTTAATACTTTCTTCTCGATTTCTTTCACTGCCTTCTGAAGGAGTTTTAAAATTTTACTTTATGTGCTGCACCCCACAGGATGTAGACAATCATGGCTCTCCACATCTTCCTATCCCTTATAACTCTTAATATATTTTGTCTTTTAGTTATCTCTCCTAAACCCTGTTCTGCGATCCATTTAGTCGCTAGTTAATACAGGCATTGTTTTCCTCTATCCCTCTCCTCTTCAATCTGTCCTGTGAGCATCAAATTTTCCAATCTGTCTTTCCTCATTATATGGCCTAGAAACTTCAATTCTCTCTTCTTGATGTTAAGTATAAGTTTCTTTTTTGTTTCAATTTTCTCTAAAACTTCACCGTTGCTCACATGTTCAGTCCATGGTATACTCAGCATCCTTCTGTAGAACCACATTTCTGTTGCTTCAAGTCTCTTCTTCATCTTTGAGAAAATTGTCCAGCATTCATTGCCATATTAGAGGACTGATATCACATACCAGTTCAGTACTCTTTTCCTTGTTTCATGCAAAGTTTTTCTATTTCTTAATACTCTGCTTAGCTTTTGAAATGCATCTTTGGCTATCCCAATATCCCTTCAGATTTCAGTTTCTGTCCTCTGTTAAAACACTTCCCAGATATTTAAATTTCTGCACTTGTTTCATTTTCGTATCTGTGATTTGCACTTCATACTTTCGGCTCATCCTGTTGTTAACAACCATGCATTCTATCTTCTTTCCCTTGATGTTCAATCCTTTCTACTCGCTTTCCTTCACTAACGTCTGTAGGAATTTTTGTAGCTTTTTTACGCTTTAGTGAGTTCAGATATTTAATATATGAAAATAAAATATATAATCAAAAATAAAAAGAAATTAGAATTAAAATAAGGCATTTGTGCTTTCCTTTTAAACACTTATGTCTTTCTTTCTTTCTCTATTTCTCTCCCTCTCTCTAAATTTCTCTCTCTATACTTTTCTCTCAACTTATGAGAAGGCAACCCTCAAATGCAAATGGGGGAAAAAGAAGAAAAGACTGAACTCGGCCGCAAAAAGCGAATGTTTGCGGGAATAATTTGTGACAAAAAACTACCAAAAATCAGGGAGGCTCCACGCATAACTTCCGTTATAAAAAAAAATGAAAAAGAAAGGAACACCGAAAATAAAATAATTTTAGCCAATCAAAATAAATTAACGCAAACAGACTTTTGATATTAGCCAAAACCAATATTAGTGCCAGTCGTCTGAGACCATTATCAAAAGGATACAAACTGACAGCCCTGAGGTAGAGGAGGGAGAGAAAGGACCGCCAGGGAAACAGGAATAAGAGAAGGGGCTGCCAGAGAAATCAGCCATACATAACGCGTGAAGAAGTTAAGAGGTCATTTGTTAATGATATTTTCTACCCTTCTTAGAGAAAAACACAGCAAATTAACGCTGAACTATTTCTAAGATGACTACTACTACTACCAAGTTCTGATAATGAAACTACCCACTATCGAACAGAAGCGGAATTTCTCCAGACTGCTATCATGATCTGCTTTATAAACGAAGTTTTTCGAAAGGACTCACTCCAATCTAAATCAAATAAATAAATATATATTATTTGTTTACGCCTTTGAGTTCCTTTTATTCCAAAGTTTCCTTTACATAAATACTAACAATTATCCTGGAACACAACGCCAGAGTAAAAAGGTAGATGTATACCCAGTTTATAAGGTTGTAAAAATGTCTACTTTTTCGGTATGCATACGTCCGTTCACTGAGTCCAAAAAAAGGCAGACATTTCTCGGGTTTATACTCGAGTCTGCAAGTACCAATCTGAAAGGTGGTCTCCCTATTTCTGAGTGAGTCTTGGAAGCGATGAAGACAGTGTATTCTAAGTTCTGGCGACAGAGAACTGTATTATTTGAATTAATAGTTTTTTTTTTATTATGTATAAAATAATGAAGACTACTAAGTCAACCATGATAGAAAAGCCAAAGGATATATCAGCGAAGATATTATGTTACAAACAGTGGACAATGGAAAGATTTCTTTTCAGTACTTAAGACATTACAGGAAAGCCAAATAATATATTGGCGGTGATATTATTTTAAAAACAACAAAACGGAAGAGAGTATCTCAGAAAATGTATGGAAAATGTAAATATTTAATTTCAATAACCCCAGACAGATGGAGTAATAGATAGAGGCTCGGATTGAGGAATCGGAGATACAAGTTCGAATTCCAGTCGAAAATTCGATTTACATTCAATTACATTCACTTACATGCTAATACCCTAGGGAAAGGTATGAATCCTTGGGAAAGGCATGAATCCTCTTCTTCTCCCCAGCTATGGGTAAATAGCAGGACAGACTGGATTCTATAGCCTTGGGTAGCAACTGGTCTATCGCAGAAAGAAATGCCAATCTACTGCGGGAAAAATCTACCTCGTCAGTCATGTATCGAGTGAACACGCATGGCGCATAACTGACTGAACCCTAGACATCACAGGAAGGCCAAAAACTATATCGGCTGAAATATTACGTTAAAAGAAAGAAACAAGGCGGAAGACAGTAAACTAGATGATGTATGGAAAATGGAAAGATCTAATTTCTGTAGTTCATACATTACAGGTAGGCCAAATAATATATCGTCTGAGATATTATATTAAAAATAACAACGAGGAAGAGGGTAATCTGAGAAATTTAAGCAATAATAAAATTACTTAATCTCCGAATTTCAGAAAATTGCCGATCAGTTCAGCTTCGATTCCGACGTTGGGACGTAATGAATAGTTTTTTGCTTACTCACAAAATCTTTACATTGAAAGTTTCAGATTAAAAATGCTATCTCCATCCAGATCTCTCTGATTGCACACGGAGTTCTGTGTTATAATTAGCGGCAAGTGTTAATTAGGCATTAATCAATTAATTGATTTTAATGGATAATTTCCGGGTGAACAGGTTTAATGAACACATTTACCCGCAATACATTGATCCTTCAATAGGTGCAATGTCTACCATCTGATTCCAGACCCATCGACTTTCCCCCGACGCATTTAATTTTGCTTAATTGTAAAACAAGGTGAACGCAATTAACCATTCTTTATCTGCTGCCAACTCAAAGACGTTTTCATGAAAGTTTTAGAGATTTTCGTGGTGTAGTGCCAGAGCGCACATTTAAATACATAACTGTGCCATTTATATGCGTGGGATGCAAGTAATATTTGGGGTACTGGCAGTAGACGGTGAACAAATCAATGTTATTGTAGTGATTTCGATCTGATCCCCAACTGTAGCTCTGTATCAAGCAAATATTCTCTTAAAGTAACTTAAAACTAACTATTATAAATATCCTGCCTCGCTTTGAAGCGAATCTAAAAAAAAAAAACTAAAACAAAAACAAACAAATTACAAATTTGCAGCAGTGGCAAATAATATAAAGACGAAACTAGCCGCCCCATGAAAGTAAGGCTGGAGGAACATCGAAACGTCGTAATTAGGGAAGAATCAATGAAATCAGGAATGGCTGATCATGTATGGAGGGAAAATGATAATCATCAACCCATTTAGAATTAAATAAAAATACTAAACAGATAAAAACTATAAAAAGTCAAACGTCTGATAGGATTGGCTTGTACTAGTCTGTGGGAATCTCCCCAGTAGGCCTAGCACAGAAATAAATATAGTATGGGAGCCGTTAAAAATTAGAAATAATAGTAAGTTTTAAAAGAAGATATTTTGGTAACTAATGTTATACTTACAACACTCTGATTTCGCACAAGTGTTTTATGAGACTCAGAATCGACCGTCTATACATAATACGATATCATTTTACAGGCCTTATCAGAAGTCAGCTCGGGATATAAGAATATTGTAATTTCCACAGTTTATTCTGTATTCAGAATTGGTTTCACACAGAATGAAAAATTCAATCATAGGAAATATATTCTCATTTAATTATGAAAGATTATTTGTCGTAAATGTCACCCAGTTTTGACTTCACACCAACGCAATCTTTCGTTAGCAGTCTCCATAAGAGCGGGTAATAAATCTAACTACGTCCGTCGAATTTCTGTATAGATGTTATCCATTACTTGTTGAATTGTTTGCAGTTTATTGATATATACACGTATGCTTCCACATCGTGACAAGTGATTGACGGAACCATATTTCTATTTGGGTAACGGATGACAAAAATGTTCAAGTGAAATTCGTCTAGCCACAAGTGAACATGGCTCTAGTGATATCTGGAAATAGTCTTCATTCAGAGGGGGGCTCTGCCCGGTGAAAAGAAAATCTGGCTTGACAATGTTACACCCGGTGTGAACGAGAAACAACTTTTCTTTCTTTCCCTGTTTTTTTCTTTCATTCATTCTTTAACCATAATTCTCATTCATTTGTTATTTCTCTAATTATAACTATGTTTACACACACACGCACACACACACAGATACACACACACAGATACACACAAAGATACACACACAGACACATATATATTTAAAAGGATATATATATATATAAATATATATATACACATATATATATATATATATATATATATATATATATATATATATATATATATATATATATATACATACAAGAACATATATATATATATATATTTATACAAGTACATATATATATATATATATATATATATATATATATATATATATATATATATATATATATATATATATGTATATATATATATATATATATGTATATATATATATATATATATATATATATATATATATATATATATATATATATATATATGTTAGCTCTATCTCTGATATTGAGCGCTTTCTAATAAGTACTGCGCATATAATATATAAATAATTATATATATATTTATTTATATTTACATACACACACTTTTCACACACACACACACACACACATATATATATATATATATATATATATATATATATATATACAAGGATATATATATATATATTTATATATATATATATATATATATATATATATATATATATATATATATATATATATATATATATATATATATATATATAATATAGGTTCAAAAATAAAATTATTTTTTTTCCATTCAACATCATCACTTGATAAGACACCAGCAGTGTAGCTTTTGTAGTGATTTATAACATGTATGATATATATATATATATATATATATATATATATATATATATATATATATATATATATATATATATATATGTGTGTGCGTTTGTATGCATGTTTTATTTTTGTTTTGTTTCTTTGATTCTTTTTTCCCATTATCTCTAATATTATTCTATTTTCTTTAATTGGAGTTCTCTCTCATTGCTTCTTTTTCATTTTCTATCTATCTATCTATCTATCTATCTATCTATCTATCTATCTATCTATCTATCTATCTCAGTTTATTCATAACTATCTATCTCAGTTTATTCATATCTATCTATCTATCTATCTATCTATCTATCTATCTATCTATCTATCAGTTTTGACTTCACACAGAATGCAATCTTTCCGTCGCATTCGCCATAACAGCGGTTAATAAATCTGACTGTGTACCTTGAATTTCTGCACAGATGTTATCCTTGAGTTATTGAATTGTTTACGGTTTATTGATATATACACGCAGGCTTCCACATCGTGGCAAGTCACTTACTGAACCTTATTGCCTGAAACGTTGAATCAAACAAACGAATCACGAAACCCGATCGTCGTTTTCTGGCATTGTAGTGCCGGCAGTATTCTCTTTATGATATTAATGATGGATTCGTTGAATCTTAAATATAAATCAACAATTTTGATTCTTTTTAAGTTGTGAATTTTTCCATGGGTAATTTCCTCATGTTAATCGAATTTCTGAAAAAAAAAAAATGAAATAAAATGTATGAAAAATCTGATATGTTTTAAATCCCTAGGTGACTTTTGGGACATCCTATATATGGATTAGGATCTTTTCTGTTAATTCTCCCTAAAATATTAATTCACCAGAAAATAAAAAGAATTTATATTTGCTAAAATTCACACTAAATTCTATCCGAACTATGCCTATCTAATGCACAATGATGGGGTTGACCTTTACGATCGTCCCAAATATGAGCGTCTCGTGTGCGCTATTTCTAAATGTGGGGCTCAACATTCGCGATAAACAAGACAAAAATAGATTTTTTTTTTAAATTTTAAAAATTCCTTGTAAGTACCTTGAATATCATCCACATTTACGTCATATGAATAACTTCCTGATTTTTCTTAATTTTTCTTTTTAAGGGTTGGAGTTGTGAGGTAAGTTAAACAAACTTTGATATAAAATTCATAATTTCAAAAAAACAAACTTTGACTTAAAATTTATAATTTCTTGGGGTGAATTAATATTTGTGATGAATTAACAGAATGGAAACCTGGATTATTTTTGTTCTTTTTCTGTAAAATTCTTCTGTCATGATGAAAAATATGTTTTAGAGATGATCTTTTTTTTGTTTATTCTAGCCTATTCTATGACTTCCAGCCGTGATGTAGCCGTCTATGCTGAATATTCGTACGACGACGTAATGTTGAGACCGCTGATTGCCCTGGAAAAGAAATTCTTGATTCCCGCTCCTCCAAACCCATCTAGTGTACAGCAAAGAAACCAACTAAACTTTATTTCGATGACCAGCGCTTCTGATAACACCAATATCGTGCTTAGAATACCCGCCCAAATGACACTGTCTTCTGTTGGACCTTTCACCAAATCAACTAAAGGGGAATTTCACGTTTTTAATCTTAAGAAGTTTCAAACAGTGCTAGTTAGTAGCTCGTCATCTTTTTTATCGGGAGTCAGAATTGAGAGTAACGCTGATTTACTAGTCCTAACTGGAAAAATGGTATCTCCGAGAAAAGGCAGAGAAAAAATATTATCAATCAAAGAACTTCCGGCCGCCGAGTCTTATGGGAAGGAATATTTTGTCTTCGCACCCATCTGGTTAAAACATGGCGTCTCAGTGTACGTATCAGGTAAGAAAGATTTTAGTCATTTATAAACGGGTCGTTTTTTTTCTATTATTCTTTCTTTAATGAAATTAAGAACACGTCACATATTCTGGTATAGCGGAGTCTTCCTCGAGGTACTTACATCATTTGGGGGTAAATACGTTGTTGTACACATATAGTTTTAAGTTGAATTTTAATGCATGGCTATTAGCAAAAGAAACGTACGCTTTATTCATTAGAACACTGTGGCGATTCTGAGACATTTAGAAGTCTTATCAGGATTCATTATTGACGGTTGCAATCTTAAAAAAAAACATAAAATATGCAGACGACACTGTTGATAGACAAAACTGAGAGGAAACTATAATAACTCCTACAGATGATATTGAAAGAAAGGTAGAAAAAGGGACTAAACACCAAATGCAATAAGGCAGAGTTCGAGTTTTCTAGCAAAGGAAAATCCCAACATTCTGTTGTAGAATAGCTAGCACCCCTTCAGCACTCTACCAGATGGCGTGGCTCATAGCCTTAAATAGTCTACGATTACAGATTCAAAAGTTGACTAATAAGTTGACTAATATTCAGACTGATCTTACTTCGTTGGCCATACAGCATTTGACCCTCCTGTATTCCTTGTAAGTTGTCTTGTTAATTGTTTTGTAATTTATTGTTCTGTGTTTTTGCATGTATCTGTTAGCACTGGATACTGGTGCTGAAGAAATATATTAAGTACTCATTCTTTTCTGTGTGTCATTCACCTCGACGATACAACAGATTAAAAGTACAAATTAGAAATATAAAATCAAGCAAGTACAACAATTTTAATATCTGGGAAGTGTTTTAACAGAGGACAGAATGTGAGATACTGAAATATGAATATGTATTGGAATAGCGAAAGATGTCTGCCTACCAAAAGTTAAGCAAAGGATTAAGAAACAGAAAAGTATTTTTAAGAAACAAAGAAAAGAGTACTGAACTGTTACATAATATCAGTCCTTCTCTGAATCGATCTTCTCATAGATGAAGAAGAAACTTGAAGCAACAGAAATACGGTTCTACAGAAGGATACTGAGAATACCATGGACTGAACATGTGAGAAACAAAGAGGTTTTAAAGAAAATGGAAACAAAAAGGAAATATACTTAACTCGTCAAACAAATGCCATGGAAATAGCGACAGAGCAGCTAGAGGCTCGCGATGTTTCGTCTGTGGGGAAAGGGGCTGTAGGTTGGAAAATAATTAACCACCCACAACTATCAAGATAGGCAAGTGAGGACTGAACATCCTCAGCTCAGATATAGTAGCGATTCATCTGATCTAGCTCTTGTAAAGATAAAGCATAGCATGGGAGTGAGGGTGGGAATCAGATACTTACAATGAACCGGTACTTTTTTCAGCATCTTTGACAATAGATCGGATATATGAATACCATTTGAGGTCTGGAGTGAACTTGAGTCCCAATTGACGTTCAAAGCGAAGAGATTCCTTGAGAGAAATCCCCATTCGTCAGGATAAGTGAATGTTCAGGGTCTGCTTGGCGGTGGCCGAACATTGCTTATCAAACTCGAAGACTGGCAAAATTTTCTCTTCGATGACCCTCAAGTCTAGCAGATCGACTAGCAAACTATCCTCTTTAACCTGATAAGATACCTAATATCAGAAAGAGTCAGTTGCACCCATAATGAGGAAAGAGGGCTTGGAAATTCAATACACACAGGATAGATTGAAGGCAAGAGAAAAAGAGAAAAACAACGCGTACCCTATCTAAAACTTAAGTAAATGGATGGCAGAACAGGGTTTAGGAGAGATAAAAAAAACACAAAAATTACTAAGAGCTACAAAGGACAGGAAATTGTGGAGACCGATGATCGCCAACGTCCTTAATGGACACAGCATATAGAAGAAGAATGTTCGTTATTTGTGGATAATACACACAAGTGAAGTAATTGCCTCGATAAAGAAAAATAAATATTTATTGAAGAATAAATAGATATTGCATAAAATAAATACTTTATATCCAGAGATTGGTAATGGTGACACACACATATGTTGTTTAAAATTTGCACAATATGAGAGATGGAGCATTTATAGATATAGGCACTTTGTGGCGGGAAACTGACAATCACCATCCATAATTATGAATATCGGTTAGTGGCCTGGAAGTTACTCGCATTATAAACTTAGAAGGAATGGTGGGAAATAGTCGAACAAAATGACTGTAATATTCACAATGGATGGAAGCTTTTCGGAGAGATTTCGTAGATTGTTTCAAAGCAAGTTATAAACTGATCCGTCATTTCTTACCAATTGATTGACAAAGCTTTCAGTTTAGAAAAATGATGAAATAAGTTTCAAAACATTATATTACTAATTATCCCACATGTTTCTCTTTTGTAGGTTTTAGGCTTTTTTTTATATTTGAGAAGTGATAAACTTATATAGTTGGCATTTTAATACGAATAATGAAAATGGTGTCATTTACTTTTAATAAAAGTACAAAATCTCTATTTTTCTTAATTTTTAGATTGACCAGAAAAATATTAAGGAATACAAAACGAAATTATTTATTTTTCATTAAAATGTGTTTTTTTTTTTTTTACTGGTATGTTAAAAAGAGTTGCATTCCTGTCATTAGAATATTTAAGTGTGTGTAAATAAATACTGAAATAGATTTTTTTAAATCGATTAAGCAAGGAAATGATGGCATTAGGGCTAAGGTGGTTACGGGTGTGAAAGAGAATGAAAAAAATTTATTGAGAAAAAGTGAAGACAAAGGACAATAAAAGAACAGATCTCAGGAAGAGAGAAGATAATATCCCAAGGAGGCAAGGGGTTACTGAGAGTGAAAGAGAATGAGAAGACATTAGTGAGGAGAGGTGAAGAGAAAGGACAATAAAAGAACATTCATCAGGAAGAGAGAAGATAATGCCACTAGGAGGCAAGGGGTTACTGAGAGTGAAAGAGAATGAGAAGACTTTAGTGAGGAGAGGTGAAGAGAAAGGACAATAAAAGAACATTCATCAGGAAGAGAGAAGATAATGCCACTAGGAGGCAAGGGGTTACTGAGAGTGAAAGAGAATGAGAAGACATTAGTGAGGAGAGGTGAAGAGAAAGGACAATAAAAGAACATTCATCAGGAAGAGAGAAGATAATGCCACTAGGATGCAAGGGGTTACTGAGAGTGAAAGAGAATGAGAAGACTTTAGTGAGGAGAGGTGAAGAGAAAGGACAATAAAAGAACATTCATCAGGAAGAGAGAAGATAATGCCACTAGGAGGCAAGGGGTTACTGAGAGTGAAAGAGAATGAGAAGACTTTAGTGAGGAGAGATGAAGAGAAAGGACAATAAAAGAACATTCATCAGGAAGAGAGAAGATAATGCCACTAGGAGGCAAGGGGTTACAGAGAGTGAAAGAGAATGAGAAGACTTTAGTGAAGAGAGGTGAAGAGAAAGGACAATAAAAGAACATTCATCAGGAAGAGAGAAGATAATGCCACTAGGATGCAAGGGGTTACTGAGAGTGAAA